AGACTGTTGTTATAAGGTCATATTGACATGAAACTCTAGGAACTCAGCAAGTAGAACTTGGTCTACCATGCACATATGAAAATGTCCTAAAGTCATATTTTCTGTCTACATATATATATATATCTTGTAATGCTACTTATTTTTCCCAATTAGGATAAGTCCTCTCAAAAGAAATTTACTACGATGACAATATTTCCTTTCGAAATGTGCAGGAAGACATGGTGGTCAAGGTGACATGTTTGTCATTTAGAACTTAATGATACTGTAGTTGTATTTTGTAAAGGTATGAGACGGGGAAACACCAGTGGTTTGAAGAATCTCTGATCCTCTCCATTTTGATTATATTACCTATGCATATGATGTTTTCAGTCTGTCGTCTGTTTACTTTCATTATATCAGTCATAACATTCTATGTTACCACTCCTTACCTCTTGACTAATTGATAATCTTCAAGACAGAAAATTAATTAGTATGAGTACTTTCTTTGACTGGCATGTTCCCCCTCTCTTATTTAATAGTTATAATTGTATCTTTTTGGGCATTGAGTTCATTTTTTGCATTTTGCTAAATAGCTGCAAAATAGTAATGATTTATAAGACATTGTCAACCTCTAAGGATAAGTAAATTATCTTTCACAGGTTTTTTTTTTTTTTTTTTTTTTTTTTTTTTTTTGCCGTGCAAGAATAGACAGTGTCTCACTCAGCCCCATAGTTTTAATAGATTGGTTGGCACGAACATTTCTCCTTAGGTGACAGAGTATGGCTCAGGCCCAGCATGTAATTATCAAATTGCCAAAGGTCTTTGGTATCAAAATATTCATGTGGTTGTCCTTTGATCTCTCATTGTTTAGTATGATGGATACAGGTGAAGTATATAATATACACCTGGAGCCAATGCAAAGGTATAGGCTTAATTCAAGTCGTATGAAGGAAATTTCTGTTTGTGTTTCAGAACCGCAAATTACTGACTTCAACCCCTGAATTAATGGCCTGAAATGGCCATTGCATGTTTAATTTTATCAAAAATACAGACTCTGAGCATCGAGTTATATTAGGAAACCCATAACTGCATGTGTTTGTTTGTGTGTGAGAGTGTAAATTATATATGCATCATGATCTAGATCTGATGTCTATGTCCTAAATTTATGTGCCCATATGTGCCAGCTTTTTCATTTTCAAATCTCCATATGTGCATGCTTCTTGCTATGATCAGGTGTATTTGTAAGAAGTAGAAATGAAGAAGCTGACCTGCACTGCCAGTGACACTGAAACATGGCCCATAGTCTTTTAGTAGTGGTTACTGGTAGTTACGGATGAAAACACATGCAATGACACACTTTGAAAATGATTCTCCTTGGATTTTAACATGCCATTTTCTTTTAATGATAGTTGCATAGAATGTGCTCAAGGGATGTGAACTAAATGAATGATAAAGAATTAGACCTACCCGGCAGTGGAACTGTTTTAAAATTGGAACCACACCTAAAACAACATGGGGAAAAACCAAGATACTAGTATGTAGCTATTGAACACATATTACATTTTTGGTGTATTCCTAGTTTTCACAAATTTACAAAAAAAAAAAAAAAAAAAAAGAGAGAGAGAGAGACAGGACTCGCCAAATCATTAGAAATCAAGACTTGGTCTATATTCAAGGAGATCAGTGTGATCCAGCATTGTAAACAGCAGAAGATATATTGTTTTAGAGTAGAAGATATGGGCGTTTCTGTAATTAATTGATAAAAACTGCCATATTGTTGAATTGATGGTATTTTTTATCTTTGACAATTGCCTCTTCAGTCTGTCACTTGTTTTACCTACATAAAGTACAGGTATACTATTGCAAGGAAGTTGTACTAACAAGTGTAAAGATTGATATTTTTAAAATAGTTCACTAATTATTCAGTATGTACGTTTTCTAGTCACATCTATCGCACAGAGAGCCAAAATATAGTCCTGCACCCTTCTCATTTAATCCAGAGTTTGTGTGGGCTTTTTCTACGTCAATAGACACGGTTTTTTATCAGTGACTTCACTTGTCACCGACTGCAGAGATAACAGTACCACTAATAATAATAATAATGATTTATTGGTCCCTGTTACATTATCAGATTTGCGAGTTTTTCACTCTACTAAGAACAAACATTTGCACATTCATACATTTATAATGATTACAGCTTGTTATGTACGGTAATGAATATAAAATTTTCAGCATGCTTGGGATATATGTGTTTCCAAATTTACTAGTAGTAAATACTGATATGTAGAATTGAGAGATATATAGCAAATGTAAATTGTCAATGACTGTTCAGTCAGAAGATAGTATTCTTTTGAAATGCAAGCATTTCTTTAAAAGCAAAATCAATAAAAATGGTATTTTTCAAATGGGTTCTATCACTACATACCAGAAGCCAGAAAAGTTGCATTAATTGCCCTTGAAACCAGAGGAAATTATTCCCATGAGAAACATGTGGATCAACAAAAGTTTTTTTGTCTGATAACGATATTCCCCAGTGGATCTGTGCTGTCATATTTGGTGCACCTGGAGGCTTTGAGTCATTGGATTAAAGTCAGATTTAGAGGAAGGCGTGAATAATTTTGTCTGGGGTGGTGTTGATATCTGGCATCCAGAAGCCAGGTGAATCAATTAATTTGTCATCTAATTAATTGATCTGGAATGAAATTATTGGATGTTTAACAAAGTATGTGGTTCAGGTTTTGTAGGCACCTTGAAATTCTCGGGGTGGTCTATTCGACATTGACACTGGGCCTACACCAAATAAGATACCAGGCTGGCCTGTAATATTTTAGGGGTATGTGCATTTACTTGCCCCTATATCTGTGTATTGGGGTCAGAGGATTCTTTAACATGGACTGTGGTTCAGTAGAATACATGAGTTCAGATTTTCAATTTATAGCCCACAATTTCACATATAATGGTGTAAATTATATTCTGTACTTAAGGTATAAAACTGTATCATTACACTTTGAGAGATTGAGAGAGAGAGAGTAACCTAAAAAAAAGCTTTTGAAAGTGAGTAAAAAACCCCAAAAACATAATTAATTCTCTGAACCTATACTGTATCATTTGTTACACTAAACCATATTGCTATGTAAAGAGCTTGAGTTATGATAAGTGCAGATGTATACATGAACTGGAGAGTTTATATCCTCTGACTCCTCTCTGGAAATCTAGAATTACGGTTATTACTCAAAAAATTGTGAATAACAACCCTAATTTTAGATTTTTAAGAAGGATGTAAGTGTTTCAAATTAATCACTTTTCAATATGTTCTTTTATTTTGAATTTTTTAAAAATTATTATTTGGTGACTCACAGATCTACTTTTAGACTGTAAACCAGAATACCATCCGGAAGTATCAGATCAAACTTTTAGGTTTCAGAAATCTTGATTTTACTTAATTTTGTTTCCATTGATTTTGTACACCCTCCCCCCATTCAAACCAGGTAGCGTTTACTTTAATTTGTCAACACAAATGAAGAACTTAAAAGGAAACAGTAGTAAGTTGATTTTGTACACCCTCCCCCCATTCAAACCAGGTAGCGTTTACTTTAATTTGTCAACACAAATGAAGAACTTATAAGGAAACAGTAGTAAGTTGCCTGGCTATGAAAGATTGCATGGATTTACCTTAATGTGTTTTGTCAGGTGAGCAAGGGTGTTCACCTCACAGAATAACCAGGCAATTTACTCTGTAACTTAAAATGAAATAAAGCTAGTAACTATTTAGAATTTACGTTAAAATTATCCATGTTGTACTAGGATGGCTCCTCGTAGGCAGTTGTTTCGTGAATGAAGTCAATTATTCTCAGTAAATCTGTGGCTAGATGATAGGGAATTAGAGACATTTCCAGCTGTCTCCACTTGCAGGATCTGTGTTTTACCTGTAGGAGAGCAGTGTAGAAACATGGCCCCACTCTTTGCAGGTTAATGTAGGAAAACTATGCCACCCGGCACAGGTTAAGAAGGTATACTGTGGAGAATGCAAGCTGTAAATATCAGCATATGGCTGTAGTGATAATGTTAGTGGAAGGAATAAAAGGGATCTGATTGTAAGCGTATGTGTTTTTTATCTACAAGGGGAAGTTGGATATAAAAAAGGCCATGAACAAGGATATTGTTAGAGCATTGTTTGAAATGTGGGTGTTGAGGATTGATAAAAGACTTGTCGATATAATTATTTGTAAATTTATCTTCAACAGTGAGGGGAGATGAGGGGGGGGGGCATAGTTTGTTTGACAGTCTCCCATCATGATCTACACTCTTAGACCCCATTTCCATAGATTTTAGATCGATCTATCCCTGTGGGGAGTCTCACTAGATTACTGTCAGCTTGGCCAGCTTAAGCATCTGTCCAGCCTACTAAAAGCTGTAAGGGGGTAATTAACAATGGTGCGCGCTCGGCTGACTGCAATTTAGCGTGAACCCCCAGGGAGTTAGGTTGATCTAAATCTCTGGGAATACACCCTTAGAGCCCATCCAGAACAAGCTGATCTGCAGACTAACAGATTCGCGTACAAAATGGCTAATCCACTTAAAAGCAATGATGCTAATTCCCTGATGGTCTCCCCACCTCCACAAGCACCATCGATACAAGGGTCTAGCAATTAAAACTCGGACCCAAGATTTAATCCATTTAATGGCCTGTGTGGAGGTGGGGAGACCATCAGGAAACTAGGATGGCTTGCTTTTTAGTGTGGTCGGACATATTTAGTGGGTGGATCAGTTATTGCGTGGATCATTGGTTCTGAATACACTCTTAGTACTTCAAATGGCCCCAAGTATTGATTGAGTAGACATATAGAGTTTTTAAAAAAATCCTGGCTGTCTTTGAAAAAATCATTAAACTCCGGGCAGGGATTAGGGTAATGAAATCCCCTTAAAAACACTCAGATGCCATTTTTATTAAATAATGCATGAAAAAATGAAGATTACTGTATGAAGCTCTTTTATTGAATTTTTTTCTTGTATATTTTCAGGACCAGTATGATAACGTAGCGTCTCATACACAGAAGGGCATAGATTTCTGTGAGAGATTTGGGCAGTTTGTCAAAGAAAGATGCCAGATAGAAGTCAAATATGCAGGAGAACTCAAGTAAGTGAACATCCACTAACGATGTATGAAAATAAGGTTTTCAGTCGCGAGTGAATGCACATGAATTTCCTCAAAGTTGTTTGGATACACATAATCAGTTCGTTGAATGCTACATTATTCTCTAGTCAGAATAGGTTGATAAACAGGGGCCAGGAATAATTGCTCAGTGTTGTTTTTACCTGTATTACATAATGTGCATTTGGTCTAATGGTCAGAAGACACAAACAAGACCCTGTTTCCTAACCTGAGTTATAGCATACAAACACGACAGTAGTTACCTGGTGCAAGTCTCCTGCTGGCGTAGAAGTTTTCGGACAAATGCGAAAAAAAAAAATTGAAATGGTTGTGTTACTTTGTCTAGAGAGAGTTAGTATGTTTGATTTTTTTTCAGTGTTTTTGTTTTTTAAAAATTGGTAATGCAACCATTCATCTGTTGGCTTCATTGCCTCTTGCAGGTAGTCACTAGATTAGATTAGGCTTTTTTCATTATGTGAGTTTTTTATGTTGAAAAAATATTGAAATTTGCATGATTTTGTTTGTATTATAAATTTATTATCCAAAACCTGGAAAAGCTGGCTGAAGTTTGACTGAAGTGGTTTTCCTTCTTTATTTGTCACATGAGCTAGTCCAAAACCTGGTCTTCCGACACGTGCTTCACACCTCATCAGAATGTGAAAATTGAAAAATTTATGTCTTCTTCATTCACCACTGGCTTGCGTGCAGTGGTTGATGAAAGAATGTTAGCAAATTTTTTGACTCCACTGAATATATATACTGTTGGAATTGGTCATGTGCCCAGATCACACTGAGCCCCACCTGTTTATAACTGGTCTGCTATCAGTAATTCGGAAACTCCTGTCGTGTACCTGCCAGGAACCTGTAACTCAAGTTACAGACAGTCAAAACTAGCACCTGGCTGGATGCTGGAGCTGACCAAACACCTGTCTGACCGGGATTCAAGGGTCCTTCGTGAGTGGCGATCCTCAATCACCCACTGTCTGCACTTTTTATTTTGCAACATCAGCAGTACTTTAATAGAGAAAATTAAAGACGGCCCTCAGCAAGTGGTCAAGCAATCAATTTTTTAAAGGCATATTGTAGTTGTCTCATATCAAGTGATAGGTACTTATATATATTAAGGTGTGCTTCCTAAAAGTTTTCTGTGGCCTCACACAAGAAGTGCTTAAATGGGGTCGAAACCAACTAGAACAAAAAAAAAATGTTGTCGGTGGTGATTTGGTCAAATGACCACTTGTCTTGCGACTGACCTCCAGACTGATCACAACTGCCAGTCAGTACAAAGCTGTTACATTCATTTGTGTCATTATACAAGGCACTACCTTGTTTCCTTGGTTTCATAACATAATTCAGTTATTACGGCATTGATTATTGTGGCTATGCTAGGGTAGAACATACAAAGAAGTACTGTAATTTCATATAATACACAATAGGGCTTCAACTTCGAGAAGGGGCTTTGCTGCAAAAACACCTTTTATTTTCATGCCTGTTGTGTTTAACGTCAACATTGAAACAAAATTCTTTTATTCTATTATGCCTGAAATTACATCAGATTTGTGGATCGCCATCTTTTGATAGTTTTTTTGTGTGTGTGTGTGTATGTGAATGTGTGTGTGTATGTTATACCAGCATATCTTTCAAGTTATTTCTGTCAGAAAATCTGAATTTATGTCTGTAGGAAGATTTTAGATGTTAAAAAAAAGCGCAGGGTCATACAAGGTCATGTATTGAGTCATCTCTACTATTGTAAGGGTTTATCATAACATGAAAGGGCTTTCCGCCCTGGAGAATAGTTGCCTTTGAAGTCTTAACAGCAAAGATGTCTGTCAAATAAACATATAGATTTTAAAATATTTTTGTTGATGCTTGTCGCCATGGATACTTATAATATACTTGGGCTGAAGAAAATGAAAGATCTGTTCAAAATTTATGTAACCAATTATAGCTGTCTTGGCTCAAAATTTGAGCATCCTGCATTGTGAAATATTTTGCTGGACAAGAATTTAGGTTTGTCTGCTTCATGCAGTTTAAGCCAGTGAAGGCATATGCACCACTCTTTCACCCGGGTCTGTGTATAATTTTCACCTGCCATTAAAATGACTTGGAGTCAGCCAGGTGGAACTTATGTGTACAGTTAAACCCTGTCACCGAGGCTGTATAACAAATATCTTCAGATAGAAAATGAGGGCTTAACTTTTAGACAAAAATCATAGTCTTCTTTAGTCCAAGATGCACCTGTAGTGGTCCAATAAATTAAAACTTTTGCACCAGCATTATAGCAAGAAAGACTTGACAGATGCTTCACCAGTATTTACTGTGTTTAAGTTCCCTTATCATGGGTTAAGCTTGATCTGAAGTTGACCAGTTTTTTATATGTATTGTATATTATGATCGGTCTGTCCATCCATGCCGTCGCCATTGCTCTCTGACACTTGATGTTTGCCAACTGCAGCATTATTGTTATACTTAAAATGTTCTTAGTGGCTTTGTTTGATAAAGAGACAGGTATGGTTTAATTACTTTTACGGTAATAATTAATTTTTTGCTTGTATTTTGTTGATACTTCTTCCTTTTTGGTGTCTGTATTTTTGACGGCTTTGTTGTCTAGTTTTTAATTTTGGTCTAAAATTTTTAGACCAGTATTCAGGCAGATATCCTTTGTGAAACTTCCCCACAGTTCTGATAGTGGCATGGCAACCAGGGCATGACTTCTATATCTGTGGAATTTTATATTTTTGTGGCTTCCTGTTGAATTGAGAAAGCACCGTAGTTGTTTTTATGATCGTCCTTTTCCACAGAGGCAGAGGCATGTATGTTAGAAGTTGGATCTGTGAAGATTCTAGAAAGCTCATTTCTATTTTTGTATTTTTATTTTGAAGAAGCTGACCACTACCTGGAAGAATTTGGCCTTAACAATTGATTAATCAATTTCATAATATTGCCATAACTTTTCTATTTGCACCCCAATTGTAATCTACAGCAAAATATATTATTTTGATTCATTGGCATAATATCGTATTCACACGTTTATTTTGTATACAAAAGCATAATATGGGTACAAGAAATGTACCCAGATTCATGTTTCCATATTAAAAAAAAAAAAAAAAAAATTAAAATGTTTGATTGAGACAAATTAAGTCCATTGTCTTATGAGTAAGGATACATCATACAGCAAGATCTTGTTTGTTATTTTTGAGCTGTCATGTTTATGTTCTCACAGCAGCTGGTGAATGAGGTAATTAATTATTTGAATTAAGCATTAAGTGGATTAATTATCCAATTATCCACAGAATAAGGACTTTGCTTAAAAGGCTTTCGTTGGACCAGAACCACGGAACTTTTATGTGCAAGGAAAAGGCCATGTGTGTTTGTGTGTGTTCAGGTATATGTGCACATGTGCAAATGTGGAGGGAAAGTGATTTGTTACATGTAACGTTTTTTAGTGTAAGTTAAGTGTCACATGACAAATGAATTTCTTTAATAATGAACCAAGACTCCTCTTTATCTTCCGAGATGACAAATTTCTTTGGGTGCCTTTATTAATTGATAGTATTGTACTTCTCATAGAAAGGTGATCAGGCTGCAAATATGGATGAGGGGGATAATTAAGCGACAGTCTCTCCTTCAGAAATATGTAATTAGGCTCTTAGCCCACTGAGGAATGGGTATAAGCTGCTTGCAGTCCATCAAAATCTATATGACTACATAATGTTTTGTTTGCTTGCTAATTGGGATTCACTACTAATTCAATTCCTCTGAAGGCATTAGTTACTTAATACATGCTCCTCTTTCCGTGATATTGTTTGCCCTGTCTAGTACAAAGTATAGACTCATTGCATGGCAAATTAATCTCGATGCTGTCAAATTATGGTAATGTCATGAAGATAATGTTCAGAAAATAAATACCAGACAATATTATATTGTGAGAGATGGGTTTCCATGGGTGATCATACATATTTGACATTGCACATGAGCGTCAGACATAAATCTAGGCACCAGGATTTTGTGATAACATTTGAGAAATGAAGAGAAAGAGAGAAAAAGAATACTAGTACTTGGTTTTTGTGCATAAGCACACATGGGGACTCTTTTTTTTCCTAGGAATGTCAAATGAGTCGCACACAGATCACAAGTCACAACTCCTTACTAAACAAATAATCAGCTGAAGACAGCAGTAGAAAAAACTAAACTGAAATAATAGAAATCATCTAACGCTTGCTCATGTATGATGTTGTATAATGTCTTAGGAATAATGGGATTGTTTCCAATACTAAAGTTCTACTGAAGTTCTCTGAAGGTGTGCAAAAAGGCTTTTCATTGTACAAGTCAAACCCAATTTGTTACTAACAAAACATATTTATCTGTTTTACAGAAAATTGGTCAAGAAATATCAGCCCGCCAATAAAAAAGAAGATGAAGAGTCGGCGTAAGTATGGAGTCAAACAAGGTTTATGTTTCACAAAAAGTATGAAATAAAGATTAATTTCAGTGAGGTTAGTAAATGATAAAAACAGAAATATTACTTTTGCATCATCAGACAATCTAAAGAAACACAATCTATATCAGTTCCATCACCAATAACCAAAAACCCGGGCCATTGATTAATGCACAAAAGGCAGAAAAATAACAGCTGAAATCAAGTTTTTGTCTGTTATGTGTACATCTTTTGCCAATGAATATTTAAGAGATGTTGTTTCAAATATAATTTAAGTAGTATCTCATCAACATTACAGATTCCTTCACCATTTAAATGCATCTTTAAATCAGTTTTGGGGCTTGAAACTTAGCAACCTAAAGGCTGCTGACCTCATTGCACAAATTGCGATTGTCTTGTTAAAAGTTTTTACTATCGATGCAGTGGTGACTATGTACATAATCATATATCAAACACATTTATTGCAGACCAATCATTCTTTAAAGATTTTAGACCTTTGTCATAATGCAAGCCCATTTTGCCTAGCCAGCTATTTTTTTAGCAATCTAAACCTACCCCAAGAACTTATTGTAACTTTCCTGTGGAATGGCCTCTAGAGTTTTCCCTAGGACATAGTTGACCCTGTTATCTTGTCCTTCCATCATCACATGACAACTGTTTGTCATTGTTACTGAACATAATGGCCATGTTCAGGTGATGGCAAAATAAGATTATTAACAGACCTAACTTCCTTTATCCCAAAATAATTTAACACAGAGTTTAATACCATAAATTAACAACAAAAGTATTTGGGGTACCTTGTCAGACCAGCTTTGGCATCTTCTGATGTTAGAATTTTGCAGATTGAAGGTGGGGGTGTGGGTTGAGAAGACCAATTTACAGGTACAGGTAGATAGACAGATGAGCACATACTCCTCACGTTATATCACATATACACAGATGGATAGACAGACAGAGAAGCACTTATTGTATACACAGTAGAAGAGTTTTGCTAAGATAATGGAGGGGAGCAGTTGCATTGCATGTAATATATAATTTTCATGTGGAGACAAAATGAGAAAACACACACACAGAGAGAGAGAGAGAGAGAGAGAGAGAGAGAGAGAGCAATTTGCTCCTCTATGAACCATCATTATGCATTCAACACATCACACGTACGAAATGCACATACCAACCCTTTATTCCCTTACTAGTAATGCCTGTGGCCTGTCATATAAAAGTGATATAGTAGTATCAAAGGTCTGAAGGGTGATTTGTATATATTTATACCTCCACAGTGCAAAGGACTTACTATCACATGCATTTCATTACCCACATTTCCTTTAATGAAAACCCTTGCCCTAATACATTATTTAAAAATTTCAACCATAGGCTCTTGGTTGGAATCTATGTACAGCTTTATTATCAGTATCATGTATGTCTGTGAAATTCAGCAATTTTCATTAACATGTATGAATGTTTTAGTCATGTCACTTAAAATGTAAAGAAGAATGAAATGTAACAGACATCCTTTTTCAAATTATGTCACAGAAGAATCAATTGTAAGCAAATACATCACTGTAGAGGTGAAAGGTACAATTTGTATCTAAACACATCAAAACATCTACTAGTATTCTCTTTTCACTGTAGTGTAGTCAACTTCAATCTGATTTCAAAACGTAAATTGATAAATTTTCTAGTGATGTGCACAATTTAGCTCATAAATGAAGAAAAAAATCAATATTAAAATAAAAAAAGAAGAAAAAATATCGGCGTATTTTCAGGTTTTCTGTGGTGCAGGGCTTCCTTGCCATGCTGAAAGAGGTTCATGATATTGCCGGTCAACATGAGCTGATCTCAGAGAACATGGCCAGCAGTGTCATCAAAGAGGTCCTCTCTTTAGCACATGAAGTTAAACAGGAGAGGAAAAAGGTGAGGTTCTAATTCTAATCTGTGAGTATGGCAACAGAGCAGTGTGCATCCCTACAGTAGCCACTTTCATGCATTTGTTTGTTTATACATGCATGCACGCATACACATGTACACACACATACACGCACAAGCACACAAATGGTTGATTTTTCATAGTTTTAAACAGTTCTGTTCTAACCCAGCACCAAAAGAATAGGGAAAGTATATATATATATATATATATATATATATATATATATATATATATATATATATATATATATATATATATATATATATATATATATTAAGAAAAGTGCATAATCTTTGGAAGTATTTATTGCCCATATGTAAATGGAAGTATTTATTGTCCATATGTGGAATTAAATTGCTAGTTTGGTTGTATTGCAGCATTTACAAGAAGCCCAGAAACTACAGCAGCAACTAAATTTAAGTATACAGCAGTTGGACAAGGTAAGAAAGACAGAATACTAGATAATGAAATGAGCACTTGAATACTAGAAAATGAAATGAGCACTTGATGTCGCCCAGTAAGTGCTAGATCTTAATCTAGTTAAAGAATAATTACCCTGAAAATTTCAAAACTTTTTTACTGTAATTGCTAAGGTATACAGTAGCCCAATCCATTGGCAAAATTGTGATTTATAAGCGTGTATCTGAGGCACTCTGCTAATAGAGGTTGAGGCTGCTGATATTTTCTCTTTTTCAACACATTCTTTGCCCCTTTTTTCTTAACCCTTTTCCCCTGGGTACTTTTTTTCTATATGTAACTCTTTTTTCCTTTCCTATTAGCTCAGGAACAGGTGTCTCAGAACAATGGTGACTCACTGTTATTTGTACTTGGGACCTGAACTGAGAGAAATTGTTTGGGGCATGATAGAATTTAGAGCTTGTAGTTGTTGTACTTGCATTAAATCAAAAATGCAAATATCAAGTTCACAGGCAGACTGTAATAGTATAGGAAATGGTGGGAAAAGCAGAGATGAAAAGATATTTTTTTTTTATTTTTCTAAGGATAGATTGATGCTGGAGGGAGTCCCATTCAATTTTGCATATGCTAATAATAAAAGGTTTTGCTTAAGGCATAACATTAAATGGCAAAGGGCATTTGATGTTTAAGCTAGGATAATTGTGATTTTATCATTTATGACCCCAATTAAAATATATACATACATATTGCTTGGTGGCTCCTCATGGATTCTGTAAAATATGAATATGTTGTATATATATATTTATTTAGTTAATATGAATTAATTAACTTTTTCAAAAGTTATTTGGATTTTTAATCTCCTTTGCAAATTTGAAACTTAAGTCTTAAGCAGATTGCTATTTTTATCTCTCACTATCAGTATAAGCTTTGTAGATATTGGTAAAATAATCTTGCCAAGACCTCCAAAGGTAGAGTGATATACATGGGAGACAGTACCATTCAATACATCTAACAAGATTTCCTTGAATGTTCTTTGAAAAGTGGAGCCTCCTTGATTGGGTGATAATGATCTATGCTGTCTGGGCTTGATGTGTTTAGTTCATGGTAATAGTGTTTACTGTCTTCGTTTACACTGAGAAGACCCATGGATCAATATTTGTCAGGAATTGTAATGCTATAATACTTTGCAGTAAAAAAATGACTTATATTTGATGGAAAGAAAGGAACAGTTTTTGTTTACTTGCAAGTATTCATTTGCTTGATCCAGTGCCAATTACTATAATTCTGTTCAGATAAAAAAAGAATGACTGTTGTCTTTGTTTAGGAATATGTAAGGCTCTTAGTTCATTTTATCAATTTTCTTTATCCAGAGTATGTTGTCTGTTCATTTGGTCAAAATAATGTTCTTGTTTCGGTAAATCACCTCTAAAAATTCTTTATACTTGTACATTTGGTTTAATTCAATTTGACATCATGGGGATTACTGCCAACACAGTGCTACCATTCACTTGAACATTACATTGAACTCATATAGATATCAATAAGAATTGAAAAAGACAAGCACTTGATTATAGTTTTATAGAAATCTGTGGTTTGAATAATTTTAAGTTCAGCGTAATGAATTTTTCATTGTCTCTAAAGTGATTCGCGTCAGTCATGTGATGAAAGTGCTTCACATATGTGAAATGTTTTTTTTCAGTCTATAGAAATTCAACATTTTACCAATTTTAAAGGTATTTTTAAGATGTAACATATTTAATATTTTGTGCATAATTGTATCCTAGCTTTTTCTTGTTTTACAGTGCAAAGGAAAGTATGAGAAGGCTTTTAAAGAAATGGAGAAGGCAGTGGACAATTACAAAAGAGCTGATGCAGATATTAACTTGTCTAGAGCAGAAGTAGAAAAGGTAATATTCAATTCTGTGTGTGTTTTTTGATAGAAGTATTGTGGTTTTGATAGATTTATCATGGTAACCTCACCTTCTTTTAACAGATACTGCAGACAATGGAGATTTATTTTCTAAAGTTTCATATATATCTGCAAATGGGAGAGAACTTTTTTCTCACTTTCAAAGAAATAATGTAATTTTCATTTTGTATGAAAAATATTAGTCTCATGAAGCGTTGCTTCAATGTTTGCTTTCTCATTAGGACTGTATCTTAATATTTTTTTTCTGAACGCTCCCTCTCCTGATTAGTCTAAGATCTCAATATTTGTTATACCCTGGTAAATATCAGATATAATGTATTCTTTGCTTTGTGTTTTTACCTGTCTTCCAGCATAAGAACACATCCCATATAAAAACACAGCAGTGCGACGAGCTGAAGAACGACTATGCCGCTCAACTTCAGACAACAAATAAACATCAGCAAGAGCACTACACAGTCCTTATGCCACAGGTTTTCTCAGTAAGGGCAACTTGGGAACATAAAATTATTAAAGATCATTTTGTTTTATGTCATTCTCAGCTGCAGGATATTAAGATGGTATTGAGTGAAAACAAGGATTTTTCTCATTAAGTAGTTATGTCAGGAAAGATGTGGCATAGTTATATTGCAGTTTTGTAACATGGAGTGAAGAGGAACATGCATGTATCCTGTTAGACAGCAAACTTATTTCAATGAAAATATCATAAAAACTCTGAGCTTCAAATTTAAAGAATGCCAGCTTCTTCATTTTCTAACTTTCACACGTTCATGATCAATATGAATAGACAAATATATTTTTTATCCTTTTTCAGCAATTACAAGAAATGGATGAGAAGCGAATCACAGAGCTCCAGAGGTTCATCAAAGAATGTGGAGACATCGAAAGAAATGTTATTCCTATTATAAACACATGTATAGATGGTATACACAATGCAGCTAATTCTGTGAACCCATCAAAAGTTAGTATCGCAACTCACTTGTGCCAAGGACTGACTATACATATTTCATTATAAAATGCTTTCTTTTTATCTATATAATTTATGTAAAGTGAGTAACTGTTCAGCATTTAATTTTTGAATTATGTTTTTAAATTTTAATAGAATGTTAGTAACATTTGACTACCAAGTAAGAGTATGGGTAAATAAAATGGAACTAGAGAATGGAATTTTGTTGAATGTTTGTCTGAATTTTTATGCAGTTGATGTAAATAATGCTGTGCAATATTTCAGGATTTTAGAAATGTCTTAACCACATTGGGCTTACATCTTTTAAAACTTTATTTTTTAGAATTTATTTTTCTGTTGGACCACTGAGTTGTAAATGTAATACACCACTAAAGAAAGTAACATTCTCATCCCTTTTCTTTTTTCCAGGATTCAGAATTGGTGATTGAAAAATACAAGTCGGGCTTCCAAGCACCAGGTGACATTCCATTTGAAGATTTGAATCAAGTTTTCCACGGAAGCGATAGCTCTCTAAATTCTTCAAAAAGCTCAACTGTGAATGTATCTCGGACTGAAACTTTCAAAGGGGGGACAGTTTCTGGAAAAAACAAGAAAAGAGGAGGCCTTTTTGGAATATTTAGCTCATCAAAGGTGAGGTATTTTACCAGCTTACATATGTTGACCATGTTATCTACCACACATATGTAACTAGGTGGCTTTAACTGGTGACCTACTTAAATGGTGTGACCCACATATAGTTAGGTCACACTGAATGGTTAATAAAAAAAAGCCTGCTTCCAGGAAGTGGATCATTTATCTAAGCCCTTCCATGTTTAATCCTATCTATTGTCTCGACTGATGAACTTGCTATAACGGTTATTCACTAACAGGGGTTTGCAATTAGTTTTCTTCTTCCTGTAGTTCTAGCTTAAACACTGTTAAAAACAGACTCAAATGCTGCTTTATAGTTACACAGTCAATGTATTATAGCATATATCTTGTAGTTTAGTCTAGCGTTTACTCTGAAGGCGTGTTCAGATTTAAACTTAGACTGGTTTTTGAATATTATCTGTTTCCAGCTATTATAAAAAATGTCTTTTACACCAAGAGATGTACCACTTTACCTCAGCTGGTTTTATCATTTTAACTTATTATGTCTTGCAACACAGTCTAACCCAGTTTCAGTCTAAGTCTGAAAACTACCTGTGAATATAAACATTTGGTTTGGTTCAATACGTAATGTTAATGATTGTGGTAAGTAATCATCAGTATAGTTTTAGGTCAAGGTGAAGGTTGTTTGTTTTGAAGGTCTTGTTAGCTTTACTAACCATTACGGATTTGCTCAGTGAGATGACATACTGTAGACATGTTAGTAACCAAGGGCATAGTTACAGGTCAAGGTGAAGGTCATTTTGAAGGTCATATTAATTGTACTAACTGTATAGTATACCTTGGGCTGTTAGATCATTTTTATGTATCCATTGATTTGAAGTTGTCATCACATGGTCTGTCAAGATAGTTCAGACTAACTTCAAGTTAACAAAAATAGATTGGCAATTAGACCCTATAGGAGATAATAGGTACTTTTTCCGAAGATTAACATTTTCTATCTGCTAATGAAGTTTTTCAATTTGATGACTGAATAGACAGGATGAAGCATTCTTTTTTCTCGTAGTTTATGTAAGTTCTTGACTACCTCTAGCTATAGATATAGTTTTAATGTATGTATTGCCACCAAACAAACATGTTATGATACTTAAAACCAAACCATTTTTTAAAGACTGAAAGGGTTTTTGGGGGTTAAATCATATATTGCATATGCAGATATTCAATCTTTATTTTAGGCCCATAGGATATGGTTGTATTTTAACCTGGAATATGAATTTTGTTCATAAGTATCAAAATGTGTTTCTAATTTTGCATTCTTATGTGTGTTTCAATTAATTGGTCTCTTTAAATTACAAAATTAATTTGAATACAAGTTAATTTTATAAATAAATGAGTGATGAGAACACGGACTGATTGTTAAATGTGCATTGAATTTTGTAACTGTAATTAAAGTCAAAATATTCCATTTCCCTTCTGTAGATTATAGGATTTTTGGTAAGATCTCGAGATGATTGGTGTTGATTGTTGACTGGCTTTGGTTGGTGGCATGCAGAATTTTTTTCTTTCATTGTCCCAAGTCAAAAAAAAAAAAAAATGCACATGAAAACTGTTTTATACTTCACATATGTATGTATGTTGTGATTATCTGTTACGCATGCATGGTGTAAATGTTTTTGTGTTTAAAGCAATGCCTTATTTGTCATATTGAAGTCAGATTTTTTATATGAATGCCATGCTAACGACTGCTTTTTCTCTATCAGTCTTTTTTCTTGTGGTTTAAGTCATTGTAGCATTTTCATAAAGTCCTGAAGACTTATTGATTTTGACTTTTTAAGGTATTTGATGTAGTTTCAGTTGGAATGTTTTTTCAGTTGCTTTTCAATATTGATCATGTGTTGTTATTACTGTAGTGTAATATAGATTGAAGGCATCTACATTTTGAAGTACTAGTAGAAGAAAACAGAAGGCATTTGATGCATGTTGTAATATAGTATTGAGAGATGTGTCCACTTACAGATGTTTGTCACACCAAGTTCCCTTGTCAGTGCAGCATTTCCTTTGGTAAAAGGATAAAGCGGAGAAGAGATTAAATATGTTGTGACCGTGACATTTTGACCATTCATGAAAAGGATTAGATAAAAGATATGTGTAAACTGACATTTAACTTTGAGATTCTGTAAATTTTTAACAGGTTTCAGTGCTAAAAAGTTGGTACGTGACAAGAGATTCTTGGTGTTTTAAAACTTTTATTTTGCATTTTTTGATGTATATTGCCTTGCTTTCTTTTCACCTTGACCTTGCGGCCTCACCTGCTTTGACCTTGACCTTTAATCTCTTTGCCTACCCGTTTCTAGTCACAATTGTCTAAGGTAATTATTGATTCTTTTTCAAGTATATTTAAGTTTGATCTATGGTTGTCTCCAAATTTTTTGATGGAATATTTGGTATTGTTTGTACGTAGACTTGTCTTGCGACTATTGTTTGATATCAGTTTACAAAAAAAAAAAAATACTGCTTAATTGAAAATAACAACAAGTATGGTTCCATCAGCATTGAAACAGAGCTTCAGATAAAGTGGAATGTGTTAGAGAAGCCTTGATTGACATAACTAACGCAGCAAGATAACAAACACGCCTCATTGATAAACATTGTGTTAACCATACTGCACGAGCTTGGATCACACTGATAACATGACATTTTTGGGATATTCGAGGAACATTACGTTCTTATTAAGTCTCATCATTTCCCAGTCAGAAATCATTCTCATATCTTTCTGATGATTAAGTTATTTTGAGGAAAAGAAAATCTGATTTGATTTATAGCCTCATTTCTTTTTCTGCCCTCCCCTGCCCTCCCCCCAAAAAATTACAGTGATCTTTACTGATTTTGTTAATTTTAGCATTACAATTTTTGGAGACTATTAAATGAAATTTGCATAGTTGACAAAATTAATGTCAAGAGCAGTGGTCCATTCCAATTGTGGTGAGTGATTAAAAAAGAAAAAGAATAACTTAACTGAAATCATATTTTGAATTTTTATAGCATCAGCTACTTTATATATATATTTCCATTTTTTAGACGGATGAGACAAAAGAAGATTTCAGCAACTTGCCACCCACTCAACGAAAGAAGAAACTGAATAAAAAGATAGAGGAACTCAGAATTGCAATTGCAAAAGAGACAGCAGAAAGGTAATTTTTTTTCCACAGATCTTTTATATTTTTATCACAAAGGGAAAAATTTCATTTTCCAAGAAGATCAGTAAATTGTAGTTTGTATAAGACAGAGATCCAGTCCCAAATTTCCTGTCTTTATTTTTCAGAGATGGTATGATCAAAATGCAAGAAGTATATCAACAGAATCCAGCACTAGGGGATGCCAGTAGTTTAGACAAACAGTTAGAAGAAAATGCACAAAAATTGGACTTACTCAGACAGGAATGTCAAAAATTTGAGGTAGGGAAGGTTTCTGAGGGAGAGGTGGGGGGAAAAAAGCAAGGGGGAAATACAAGTCAGTATATTACTAATAAAAATCCAGTAAATTACCTCTCACTTTGAGAGAGGTAATTAGATTTATGCAAAGGGTTTTATTGTTCAGTGTCAGTAACGTATTGTAGACTGTCCCCCCAAAGTCATGGAAGGTGATGGCAGAAAGTGTATTTCTGTGAGTAGAATAAAAAAGATGAAGGTGACCACTGAAAAAATAGATGTTTGTGCAGTATTTAGAATATAAGATGAATTGCAGTACTAACTTGGGTCTTTCAGGGCTACTTAGCAGAAGCAGAGGGGCAGGGCACACCGCAGTCAGATCGCAAAAAACGAAACAGTATGACGGACGAAAGTGTCACTTCAAGAAGTACTTCAGATTTAGGAAGTATGGGGTCACAACAGCGTGCGTCTGCACCAGGCACGCCATTACAACAACATCAGAGGTAAGCTCTACACTAGAGGCATTCAATGCATGTTAGACCTGTATGTAGCAAACTCAGCAAAAATGAGTATTTTTATCACCAAGGTATAATATCCTATGCAAATCTTTCAGAAAATTCAGGTTACTTTTACATTATTTATGTTTTTGCAGAAGAGCCTCATATGTTACACTGTGTTAGATTTGCAGAACCTTTCTCTTTTCTTTGGTTTGAGTAGATTGCTTTAAACATTAAGCTAAAAAATATCACTCCAGCAAGAGCCACTTCACCAGCCTGCTACCATACAATGAGACATATTTTACTTACAGCTACAATGAAAGTCCCGACAGTGGTATCCAAGGCAACAGCCGCGGCCAGTTTGACGCCCAAGACTCGTTTGAAGAAGATGTCCCTGAAGGAGTGCCAGTTTTGGGCGTCTGCGTGGCTGTTTACCCATTTGAAGGTAGAATATACTGCATTTATAGAGCACTACAGTTGCAAACAATTACACCATGAAAAAAGGGAGTTTTAGAACGAGATAACAGAGACAAACTTTCTTTGAAAAATATCAAGAGAGACAGATTTAGTTGCAATTTTGAGAACTTAAGTATCTATCTCCCCTCCCTTTTTTTTTTTTTTTTTTTTAATTAAGAGGTTTTTGCAATATTTTAATCACTAGCAAACAGGCAAACCAATGCTGATAAAAACATAACTTCTTTGGATGGCAGAACCAGGGACTGAATCTGAAAATGTTTTGAAGAGAGTTTGGGCCTTTCAGAGGGCTGAATAGAGATTGGCCATTAGTATGCATGTACTAGCAATGACATTTCGTTAGCAATTCCCCATTTCTTCTCAAGCTGTCAGCCTAAATCACAGATACTGGTGGGTAATATGGCCACAAGAGAGGCTGGAGAAAATCAGACATCATCTTCTTCTTAAAAACAGCTCTTAAATTTACATTTTCAAAAATGGGTCTTGATTCTTAGAAAATGTGCTTGAAATGCACCCCTTAGGCCTACACTTTTACTCTCCATAATAGATCACTGTTTTCTCTTTATTTCAGCGACAAACGATGGCTCAGTGTCCATGGCTCAGGGCGAGCAGTTCTCTATCATTGAAACAGACCAAGGGGACGGTTGGACCTTAGTACGGAGGGAAGCTACGGGAGAGGAAGGTTTTGTCCCCACTTCATACATTGAAGCCACATACTATTGAAAATAGCAGAAAAAAATAGACAACAATGGAGAGGAGTTTACATTGTTTTGTTGCATTCTTTGAGGTCACAAGATTATGATTTTTTTTTTCTGAACTAAGTGATTGGAAGGTCATGATTTTTTCTTGATATGTTGTCACCGTGTTCTGCCTATTGTTAAGTGCATCTTCTCAGTCATATCTTAAAAAGAGAAAGCTAGTAATTGGAAAATGAAAATGGCAGATTAACAGTCGTCTGACTTAATACGAAAACAACAATGAAAGTAGAGTATTATGATCTATTTTCTTTAGACTTCTGCTTTTTTTTTTTTTTTTTTTTTTTTTTTGTGGGGGGTGGTTAAGGTTGAAAGCTACAGACAACTTTCTAAAGTCAGATTTAAAGAAACCGTCTACAATTCTGCCATACTATTATGTTGGGGGATAAAGATATTCAGAGCATATATATTGGACTATTGAATAATGAGCTGTAGGTATTGCTATATGTGCTGTATTGTGAACTTGGGGACACCTTTAGTTAGAGGGAGAGAGAACATGATGGACAGAATGAAAGTGAAAGTGATTTTTGCTATCTTTGTGTACATAAGCGTAATTACTCATTAAGCAGTGTAGTTCTGTGGACAATTGTATATGCACTGTACAATGCAATGTAAAAATGAATCATTTTTACAGAACAACGGTCATTAACAAACAAATTTATTATCTTACAACAAAAAATATATATATACATACTTTATTGCCCTAGGTGCAACACAATCTATTGTAGATATGAAAGTGACAGTACACAGGAGATTTTTTTAACTGTACAGCCAGAGCAGCAATATTGGAGTAGATTGCTTATGTAGAAACTGTTCATTCAAGATGCCGTTTTAAGACTAATTGGTGCCCACTGTATTTATTCCTGAATTTCTGTCATTTCCATTTTATGTATTATCTCAAGCTGCAGCTGAGTGTTGCCTCTTGGTGGCTTATTGATCTATATATAGGTATTATAATATTTACACTTATACATGCAAACTTGAATTTCAAACAGGTGTTGAATGAAAATGGAAGCAGTTTGTTGTGATTTCGAAGACACAAGACTTACCTATCCAAACATGTTCTGGCTCACTACTTTTGTAAATACATTTATACTATTGTCATAGTATTTATGATTATTATTATTATTATTATTATTATTATTTTTTTATTTTATTTTTTTTTTTGGTAAATGGCGTTTCCCTTTGCGTTATTTTATAGAATCCCTTTGTGATTTGTCAAATTCAATTGATTCTGAACTAATTTGCTTTTATACTGCTAGATTTTATGGAAAGCCATTGGACCCATTTACTAAAAATGTACAATTATATCTAAATCATGAAGCCTGTTTCTAAATAAAATTCCCTCACCTAGTACTTGCCCTCAAGAAGTATAAAATTCTTTCTTTATAAGTGCAAATAACATGACGTTCTTTCCCAGAATAATTGTTAATTACAAGGAAAAGAGGATATTAATATAATAGTAATATCCTGATAAAGGGAATAGCAATCATGTCAGAAAGTGGCTAAAATATGCCCATTGCAAATAAAAACTTTAATGATAGTAAATTATCAACATACAACGCTTTGTGTTGCATGCTTACCAGATTTAAGATTAACAATGATGTATTTGTTATCAATTATTGAGGGACTAGCAGATAAGATTAGTTATGTTAATGTATGTATCCACATATTATAAATTTTATGTATATAAGGATGAAATACTGTGCATGCCATTTGACTTGGCTTGCTAGTAAAAGTTCTTGCTTAGGTCATGCTAAATGCGTCCATGCTTTCACAGAATATTTTATGTGTAAGGAAAATTTTGTCAAAACGATTTTCCCAGTGGTTGTGTTTGATTCATAATCAAGATATATTTAGTTTTATGAAATCGTCATTGAAACAGTCTGCTAAACATGGAAATTATGATCATTTGTAGAGATATTATGATTGTCACAAGTTTCACTGAAGGAAGTGATGTTTTCTATGGAATTTCTAGGTCAATCATTGAGAAGAATCTAGCTAACCTCAATTTGATATTTTGTGGGGTATTGAAAGTCTGAAAGGGCCTGGTAGTTTGATTATTTATTTGACAAATGACAGTCTGCACAAAAGTCATGATAGTTTTGCAAGATGTTCAAGCCTTTTACACTTTATAAGGGTGAGAACACAGATACCATCAAGTTGTATAAATCTAGAATTTATTAGATTGCAGATACGTAGGATAACCGCTGTAGGCCTAAATATGTGATACAAAATTTGCCTCATTTATAAAAACATCCTGTTCGTTATTCAACTTTGACTTTGTAATTGTTGAATCTTTAACTTGTAAGTGTATTTTGTAGGGATTTATTTACACTGAAGTTTATTATGATTATTAATTGAAGCAGTTGATTAAGTTTATCTATTTTTGTTTATTTCTGTATTTATTTATTGGCTTCTTGATGTAGCTGGTCATATTGATCAGCATTGCAAAGCTTAATAAAAATATACATTGTAATAATGATAGTATGAATAAAAATGAACCATTTTTAGTACGTGTTATTTTGATTTATCTAAGCATATAAATTGAGCAGGACCAATTTCACCAAGAAGAAAGGGGAACTTAAAGGGGCAAAGTGTTAGATTTTAACAGATAAATGCCATTAATTAATGTCACCAAATCTAAATAATTGTACCCTGAGTAACCTGCCAACCGTCTTAGTGCAGTTTTAAATCGTGTGCAAGCTTGAAGCCTGTGAGAGAATTGAGCTCAAAGGAATGGGCAGTTATTTATTTTTTTTAATCTCAATTTTTAATTCTCCCAGCTTGTTACAGGGTTATGGTGAGTGTCGGGATAGGGGGATCAAAGGTAGTCACTTTGAAGTGCAATCAAAATCCTTGAGGAATATTTCACGTCATATTTCATTGCAGCATAATGTTTGCACTTTGAACCAGGAAGCTGCTGCTTGTTATATGGTTTTCTGTTCTGTCTGAATAAAGTAAATCGGAGTGCAGCACATTTACTCCTTTGATCAGGAAGTTCTCACGTTAATGTATCATTTTTCTATTGTAACCAGAAGTTCAATGCAGTCTGCTTGCGCCTTTGTACCAACAAGGAAGTGTGCAGCGACCTACTTCACAGATTGAAATTTCATACCTGATTGGACGAGGATGTTTACACGGTTTACACTAATGTACAGGCCTACATGCATATTGAAGGTGATCAAAAGAACGTCAAAATTTCTGGAAAAAGGGTAAGATTATCTTAAAATCCCCCTGCTTTAGGAGGCAACTCATGTTTTGATAATTGATTATAGGGCATGCGGTGGGATCTTTGGCGCGTCTCTGAGTCTTGTTTAAATCAGCCATATTTTGACTGTAGTAAGTCCAGATAACCTGGATCTGCATGACACTCCTGTCTTTGACATTGGAGAGAAAAAGAGTGTTGGTCAAAAGCTCCTGGACTTACAACTATAAAAGGGCTGGCCTATAAAACAAACTAAAATATGAAAAGTTTTTTTTTTTTCGAAAATAAGATAAGGCATATTAAANGTTATTTATTTTTTTTAATCTCAATTTTTAATTCTCCCAGCTTGTTACAGGGTTATGTTGAGTGTCGGGATAGGGGAATCAAAGGTAGTCGCTTTGAAATACAATCAAAATCCTTTAGGAATATTTCGCGTCAATTCATTGCAGCATAATGTTTGCACTTTGAACCAGGAAGCTGCTGCTTGTTATATGGTTTTCTGTTCTGTCTGAATAAAATAAATCGAAGTGCAGCACATTTACTCCTTTGATCAGGAAGTTCTCACGTTAATGTATCATTTTTCTATTGTAACCAGAAGTTCAATGCAGTCTGCTTGCGCTTTTGTACCAACAAGGAAGTGTGCAGCGACCTACTTCACAGATTGAAATTTCAAACCTTATTGGACGAGGATGTTTACACGGTTTAGACAAATATACAGGCCTACATGCATATTGAAGGTGATCAAAAGCACGTCAAAATTTCTGGAAAAAGGGTAAGATTATCTTAAAATCCCCCTGCTTTAGGAGGCAACTCATGTTTTGATAATTGATTATAGGGCATGCGGTGGGATCTTTGGCGCGTCTCTGAGTCTTGTTTAAATCAGCCATATTTTGACTGTAGTAAGTCCAGATAACCTGGATCTGCATGACACTCCTGTCTTTGACATTGGAGAGAAAAAGAGTGTTGGTCAAAAGCTCCTGGACTTACAACTATAAAAGGGCTGGCCTATAAAACAAACTAAAATATGAAAAGTTTTTTTTTTCGAAAATAAGATAAGGCATATTAAAGTTTAGAAAATTTCATTCTTTAGGTTATGTCTATAGGCCTAGATCGTCTAGATTACTATTAATCTTAATTATTACAAGTTACTCTTTTAGATTCATGATTTTTTAATTTTAATAAGCAGTTTGTAATTTTAATTTTCAGTTCGTACGTCGCACTGAGATTTTAAAGAGTGTGTCAATTAAGTTACAATTATTTAACCCTTCTGGTTAACACTTTGAAGTGTTGGCAAACTGAAATTGTAAAAAAAAAATGTCATATCCATTTTAGCAAAGTGTGATACTTTTTAGCCAAAGTTCAATTTTGTCTGATTTTTATACAAATGGAGATATCTAGGTATGTTGGTCTATCTGAACATTGGTCACTGGAGCGCGATGCAGCCTGCTGAAATGAGACACCTTGGAATAGTCGCAGTCTCAGTTGCAGCAAACACAAAACGTTATATTCGTCTTTCTGATAAAATGATTTATCATCACCACATGTAACAAAATTATAACGTTACCATGGCGTATGTATAACAGGAAACGTCATGGTAACGTTATACATGTAATAACGCTCTGCATTTGCTGGGACAACGTCCTAGACCCCATTCCCACAGATTTTAGATCGATCTATCCCTGTGGAGAGTCTCACTAGATTACTGTCAGCTTAGCCGGCTTAAATGTCTGTCCCGCTTACTAAAAGCTGTAAGGGTAGTAAGGGGGTAATTAACTACCGTGCGCGCTCGGCTGACAGCAATTTAGCGTGAAACCCCAATGAGTTAGATCGATCAAGATGGTTCGATCTAAATCTATGGGAAAGCACTCCTAGTGATCAGAACTCAGTGGGAGACTTGCGTTGTATTTTCTTTTAACTTGTGAGTCATTTTTACGTTTTTTTAGGCACTGTAACCTTTATCGTAAGATGTGGTGATGATAAATCATTTTATCAGAAAGTATGTACTCCATAACAAATTAAAATTTTAACGAAATTTAAAAAAGACTTTTTGCCATATCCGATTGTGTGCGACCGTGCCTGGATCGTCTTCATATAACTTCAATAAAACCATACTGTCTATGTGCCTGCATCTTTGTTTTAAGCTTTAAAGAAAGAAAATCAAATTGAAAATGTCCTTACTGTGGTTTATACATAATTGCTTATATCTATCAAAATTAAATCACGTCGACTCTCGTTGCTCACGCGGAATTCTCACATAGCCATTTATAACAAGTTTGCTCATCATATCCATTATTTTCATTTAAATTGTTAAACATAACACAGAAGGTCCAAGCTTTGAGAAAAAAAAATCTTTGCAGCTTACATCAATGTGTCCTCCTTAACAAATCACGACCGCCTCAATTACCGTAGTCGTACATGTACTACCAGGAAAACTGGAAACTGAACCGCGATCGCTTTGAAATAAAAAAAAAATTGCCAAATTAACATAACATGTTAGACCTTTCGTTGTCTCTAAATTGTATTTCTTGGGAAATACACGGTGCAGTCGCAGGAGCGGATCTAGAGTTTTTGAAGGGGGGTCAACCGATGCGAACCTGACCCCCCCCCCCTTGGCTCGCCGAGAAATTTTGGTATTTTAAAGGGCGAACGGTGTCATTTGGTATGTAATAGAACTATGATTCAGCAATTCAAAATTCAGATTTCAAGAATGGACTATTGGGTTTTCAGAAATCGAAGGGGGGGGGGGGGGTCAGAACCCCCCCTCCCCCCTCCCCCCCCCCTACCCCAAATCCGCCCCTGCGGTTGGAATCAACCCGGGTAAAAGTAAGAGGTATATAAACCATGTAACTGAATTTTCATCTGGTCTGACTCTGTTGAATGGATTTGGAAACAATGCACATTTGAAGCAACAGAAATTTAGTCCTTCGATGCAATAATCATACAAACAAATGTAGGCCCTACATAAGCTCCATAATTGTGTGATAGAAATCCTTATACGTCCACCAAAGAAGGAATGGAAAGAGACCAACAACAGGTTCAATCATGATCACGATCACCGCAATGCCCGTACGCTAATGCTACCCCCTACGGGCTTACGATTTCAAAAATTTTGTCAAAAGTTTTAGCTTAGCAAAATCACAGAGGCTACTGAGGCTACCTTGCGATGTAATATATTCACTCGATATTTAATTCTTTAAAATGGTCCATATTGCTTTATGAAAAACAAAATACACCCAAAACCAAACACGTGTTGAATGCAGCCCAACTTTTCTCAGAATGAAAGCGAGGATATTTTCTGAATATATATTATCTGCACATAACACGAAACTGAGGATTTTGTTATGAAACCAAATCATTTGGAAACCGAAAGTGACCTTGCTCACAAACATGGAAAGTAGGACTGGGTTCCCATACCTAGATCGATCTAACAGGATCGATCCATCTCAAAGGGGTTTCTTGCTAAATGGCTTTCAGCTTAAGCGGCTTAGATGCCTGACACGCCCACTGAAGCTGCTAAACGATAGTTAATTACCTCTTAACAGCTTCAGTAGGCGTGCCAGACATCTAAGCCGCTTACAATTTAGCGAGAATCCCCTTGGAGATAGATCGATCCTCGATCAGTTAGTATGATAGTGTCGGGGAATGGTCCCTATAGGCCTAAGGCAAACCTGTCAACACTCCCAATATCGTGCGGTAACTTCATTCATGCAAATACACCATGGCACTTCGCTTCATTGATGGAGGACAATGATTGCAGTAAACAATGAGAGGACATGCCAAAGACAAAACCACGTCGAGTCTTTGTGTGAGTGACACCCTATGTTAATGTTGTCTTGGGACGCAGCTTGTTCGAACCGAAAAGAACCGAGATACTGATCATTTAAACCACAGGCATTGTTTATGATAAAAAGTATTGCAACAAAAATATTTTTCCACAGAAAATGAATTTTTTTTTTTACAAAATTTTAGCCCATTTGACCTTGAAATATACGTCGAAGGTCAAATACAAGATCATATTTGAAATCTCCACATGTGGCATATAGTAACTTATCCCATAATTCCTTCAGTTTGGGAGATATTTAGCATTTAGTTTTCAGAATATGCTGAAAAAAAAAGGAAAAAAAAAACAGCATAACATTTGGGAAAATGGCCCAGTCGAGCTGATTTTCGAACTCCCCTGTACTTTATGAACATAAAACACTTCTGTTAGTTTGAAGTCAAAAGGTCAAATGGTTTTTTACTTATCACTGAAAGTGCACAACAAGAAACAATAATGAGCTAGCATGAGTCAAGTTAGAAAATCAGCTTGATCAGACTTTTTTTCCAAAAGTTATGTTCTAATACTGGGAAGTCTCATTGCATGGATCTATATCATTATTTTGAAGTCTCTCATATGGGCTCGAAGCCCTTATATATATATATATATATATGTGTGCTAAGTACTGATTCTGAATGCCCTTGTTTACTTTGGTAATTAAAATGTGGCACCAGTGATAATTTGCTGTCAAGCATTATAAATATTGCTTTTATATTGACAAAAAGATTTTTCGTGCATCATTTTTTCCTGTTTTAAGTCTGTACATTTGACAACTTTGCTGCCTTGCCCTAGAACAAGGACTAAAAAGTGAATATACGTAACTCTAATTCTAGCAGCTTATTTTTTTTAATCCCTTCTAATAGTTCAGATCTATTGTTTACCTTTATTTTATGAAAAATTTGGCGTAAAATATTTAGGATTAGAAGAATATCTTTTCAATCCCCACAATTAGTTTCCTTCTCGCTGAACATGTGGATCTGTATTCACTAAACATAGCCAGTAAAATAGGGGAATTCCCCTGTTTTGTCTGCGCGCTCAATGCGCAGCAGGTTTAAGAGGGAGACGTCAGACGCCATATTAGGTGTACGAAAAATCCTAAGGTTTCGGTAAAGCTTCACATTTTTACTAGCCCAGCGAATGTTACGATCTGTTAATGTAAGTTCCAGTGACAAGAAGTGATAGAGAACAAACAGGGATAGAAAAGAAGGTAAGAAATTGACTTTCGACATTAGTGAACTTGTGGTGTTGTTGTCTCTATCGCGTCATCGCTATTTTTAGACGCTGGAATTTTCATATCTATGGCACGTGACATTGCGTTCCTTTATTTACTCGAATCGATAACAAAGGGGAGCGTCAAAAAAGCTCAAATATCATAGCTGCGTAGTATGTTGACATGAAATTTCTAGTACATGTATAGCCCTTACAGATTAAAGTCAATTATTTTTTTTCATGTTTATTAATAGACTTATAGATTTTAACTGTAGCTACATTTTATTTTTCAGTCTGCTGGATAAATGTGCAGGTTTACATAACTTAATTTAGATCTACGCAAACCCGGTTTTATCCTGATCTGACGTTTGAAAATTCCCTTACGCGCTGGGATTGGTGATAACCGGATTTCCAGTTTATCCAGTACGAGTCATTAAAAAAATTCATGCAGTTTCCATACGTGATACAGTTGGGTTCATGCTTCATTTTAGGTCTTCAATAGAACATGTAATGTGGTGCTGACAAGTTTCATTCAAGATTTATTCATGTAAAATTTTAAAGATTTATTTTACAAAAGCTAAAGATTATAGACGATCAAATATTTAATATAAACAAAAAAAAATAGAGTGACACTTTGGCGTTTTTCTTTAGTTTGAAAAGTTAAGTTTTAATTATAATCTGACTTATTTATTTCAGAAATATAACTGTTACAGTAAAAACTTGAAAAGGAAACAATGGCAGAGAAGAGGTGTGTTATAGTCCGTTTTCCTGAAGGTATTCCTAAAGAAGACTTGAGAACGTACTTCACTTCCTATGACCAACACGCTGTAGTTGTAATGACATCAAAAACCCAGGCTCTTATTACATTTACAACAGAAACAGGTAATTTTTTTGCCAACAACTTAATTTTAGACTTGATATAAGCAGTTTGTAGTTTAGATTTTAATTTGTACAGCATATTGATATTTTTAAGCTGACAAAATGTGCTGTATGAGGATGGGTTATATTATTAAAATTTTTATTCCTTCTCATTCTCATGGATAACATTTTTCAGAATTATGGTACCAAATAAAAAAAAAAAAGAAAACCCTTTTTTCAACCAGATGTAATACTGCTTGGCCAAAGTTCAATTTTATGTGATTTTTCTATCAAACTTTTTGCTAAAAATAAATAAATAAATGAAATAAAGTAATTAAAATAATAAAAAAGAAAAAAGGTTAACAAAAATAAACATTGATTTATGTCTGTAAGGAGTGACATAGCTGTACTGAGTGACTTAGTAAAGCCCCAGTCAGTAAGGTTTTCCACTGTTGTTTTTTTTCCTGTTATTATGGCAGAAATTATTATTTTAAACAAAAAATTTAAGTAAGAGAATAATGATATTAATTTTTGGTGTCTTATTTTATTTAATATACAGTTAAGAACCAAATAATGATATATATATATATATTTTTTTTTTTTTTTTTTTTTAGCTGTTAACCAAGTCCTAACCCAAGAGGATCACTCTGTGAATGGAGTTAACATTACTGTACAACAGAAGCCACCAGAGGTATTATAGTATACATATGTATTATTTTTATTAATTGTGATCTTTGGATTTTCCATATGAGTCATTGGATTATGTCTATTATTAATTATTTAATAATATTAAATTATATTTAATTTTTTAAGTACTATTTTTTCAAAATGGGAATATTTGTTGTTTCTTATATGAATTAATTTGAGTAAAAATATCCAGGTATTCTTTCAGAGCAGGCAGAAGTGATGCTCTTTTTATTTAAAATCAAAGTAAATAGGTTAAGTCTTGGCTTAAGCCAGTGGGTTTAGTCTTAAGCTGATAATTTTGTATAGTACATAATCACAGCAGCATTGGTGTATTTGGCTGCAACAGATGCTCTCATCTATTTATTTGAATTATATTATATTATATATTTGAATATATATTATATATTTGAATACAATTCAGATCTCTTTCAATTCCAGCCATTCAAATGCATAGAAGGGCGTATTAACAGCTTTTGGACTAGGGACTTGGAATCAGTAAGACCAATACTGGAGAAAGTAGCAAATGACACTGGCTGTAGTGTGATGTACAAGGAATCTGACATTGTGCTGAGAGGCAACTTCTATCAGGTCAAAGAGGGACATCGTAAGCTGGCGGAGGCATTTGCCAACCTTTGTCTTGATGCCAAGCCGCCATCTTGTTTTACTGCAGAAGACGAAGCAGAGATTGAATCATTTGAGCATGTGGAGAAACACGACTTGCAAGAAGAATTCCTAGAAAAATCAGAAGAGCAGAAGTCTGGATCAAGAACTAAAATAACAGCAGCAATAACAACCACTGCACCTGATGAAAGGGATCAGAAAGAAACAGGACATCCTGCTAATGCTTTGAGAAAAAGTTCAGCAAGTGAGAAGTCAGGCAGAGAAATCCCTGCAAAGAAAAAGTCTGATGAAAACTTGGCACGGTCAGATAAGGAGACAAAAGCATTTTTTGAAAAATCTCGGCCATATGAGGATGACTTGCCATCCCCTGTAATTAGATCAGGAAAGGGATCTCCACTGGCAGCTAGCGCTTTAACGAGAAGCAGCAGCGAAGATGAGAACGAGTTGTGTGTAGATCACCATCTCTGGTTGTACATTCGCTATATAGCAATGCTAATCCTTACTCAGATCCAAGACAAATTTGGTGTGAAGTTCCTCCCTGCATTTGGTGAAGAACCAAGCTACGATGTTGTTCATATTGAAGCAGATGAGAAAGGCCTACCAGAAACTATTCCAACAAGAAGAGCCCAGGCTAAAGAAGAGTTCATTCAACTTTATCAGAAACTGTCAGAAGAGTTATTGGTGACCTCTGAAAAAGTACCCAGTACTCCAGACATCTGTCGCCAGGTAGTACTCGATGTTATCGAGGAACTGAAATTAAAATATGTAAATGTTGCCTATGAATATGTTGAAGAGACCAACATCTGTTTTTTCATTGGTCGTCCTTTTTATGCTTTGCAAGCAAGAGATGAGTTTGTCAAGCTTTTGAAAGAGAAACTGCCTGCAGAATTATTTCAAAATTACCATCGCCGAGACCCATTCACCCTTGAAGACATACTTGACAGAGGGGGTCCAAGGCACGATGAAACCCAAGAAGAAGATCCAATACCTGATGACACTCAAAATGAAGTGCAAGAGTCAGTCCATGAAAAACATTTCATCCAATGTGTACAAGATGTGAAAATGAATGATGATTCAGTTTTACAAATTCTCTTTGTCACAAATTTTTCTGTCATGGTGTATACAGGAGACATTGTTGAAGAAAATGTTGATGTCATCGTTAGTGCATCCAATGGATTCCTGGCAAATGCTGGAGGGGTGGCAGCCGCCATTTCTGACGCTGCAGGAAGATTGCTCGACAGAGCATGTGCGCGGATACTTATGGAACGAGGCCATCCTTTGGAAGTGACTGAAAATGAAGTGACCACAGCTGGAGATCTCCAGGCCAAGTACGTAATACATGCTGTTGGCCCTCAGCTCAGAGATTACCCAGATGATGTTGATCGTCTGCAGAAACTGAAGCTGACTTTTGTGAACATCTTCAGGAGAGCTGATGAATTAAAGCAAACAACTATTGCCCTACCAGCAATCGGTGCAGGTAAATGTGATAATGTTGCAGTTGTTTAATAGAAATAACTGTTTAAGAACCCTTTTTTTGTGAATTTTGTGATCATTTTCAAATATTTTCATCAGGAAACTCGTCCAAGCTGAAGGCTTTTTGGTAAAATAGGCTTGACTGTAATAATATTCTGTGGAGATGTTAACAAAAATATTTATTTGAAAGCTTCAGGTCAAAAGGTTTTCAGTTTGAGTGGCAAAAATCGGTTGAAATAGTTTCAAGTTAAACTTTTTTTACTTATTTAATCACTGATGAAGATACAGAATGGTTATTTGTACAATGTATTTTAGGTGCTGCTGGTGTACCTCTCAATGATGTTGCCGTGGCTCTGTTTTCTGCTATTAATCATGTTGCCAAACGTAGGCAAAGTGGCCGCTATCTTAGTCTGAAGGAAATTCATGTCCTGAACATTGACCCTGAAGCCACCAAAGTTGTCCAAGACATTTTCATGCAGGAATCTGTCACAGTTCCAGCAATTTCATCGAAAAGTGTGAAAGGTATTAAACAGCTTTGTCTTTTTTGCATACTTTGGTATTGAAAAAAAAAAAAGGGTTTGACATGACTTCTTTGTTCCAAGACTTAGTTTCATGATGTTGTCATTCACTAAGGTAGCTTTGTGACACTTGCCTCAGAATATCAGAAACAAGAGTGCCATAACGTATGCTGGAAATGAATGCAATGGTGTAAATCTTGAGATTTTATATACTCGTAGCCTTGAATGAAAAGTCAAGGAGACTGTGATAGAACATTTTGTCTTATGTTTTGCAGTTTTTAAAACATTATTTCAAGTTACCGTTTTATCAGGATACCATCTCGTGTGACATTTCAATCAACGTTTTAGTCATTTTTACCTCTACCTCACGCTTAAATTTTAACAATAGAGAGAAACACCTCCCAAGATTTGCATTTCATCCATAATGCATAGAAGTTGTATACAAATGCAATTAAAAACCATTTTCTTACCTCTGTTTTCAAGGACCAGTCACAGAAATTGAAGGAGCAGTCCAAAAGCTTTTAGAGAGAGGTGACGCGAGGACCCAGGAAGTGATCAATGAACTTTTGGATGAAACTGAACGTATTGGACAACTTGAACAAGGTAGATCAAGGCGAGGTCTCATGGTGGAATCGGTCCTTGAAGAAGAACCAGGATGTAAGACACATCCAAGAACAGAAGAAGAAGCCATTTTGGCTATGGAACAACAGAGATCTAGGCCACCCCGGCATCACCAACCACAATATGGGGATGTAGAGCCAGGGTGTAAGACCCATGCAAGAACAGAAGAAGCAGCCATTCATGCTCTGAAACACCAAAGATCACCCAACTCTCCAAGGCGTCATCAACCAACATATGGTGGTGCAGAACCACATGCCAAGACCAACCCCAGAAGAGATGATGAGATGCGTGGTTCAGTGCCACAATCCCAGCCTCAGATTATCCAATCCCCAAAGGCCTCTCGCCCAGTCAAGAACATTGGCCAGCGTTGTGCTTTCTGCAGCTTTGACCATAACCTATTGCGCTTGTCCTGCAATCACATTTTGTGTCGGCCATGTTGGGAATCAATTCCACTCGATACCTTTGGGAGACATCCTTGCCCTTTCTGCTCTGGGAAAACTTCATCTCCAAAAAGAAGGACAACTGCTCCTCCTCCAACTACCACAACAACTGCTAGAGAACCAAAAAATCAGAATACTGTGGGGCAAGTTTATGACCTGCCAGGCAATCTACGCCATGTGACAGATGAACGTCAACTCCCAGGATACCGTGGACACTCCACCATAATTCTTCACCTGGACGTCCCAGATGGTGTGCAGAAGGTAAGATGTTTCGAAATGAATGTTATGATTCCCCTGTAGCAAAGTGAATAGTTTGCAGCAATGTTGCAAGAAAATTGCAGCAATATTGCTGCAAACTTAAGGGAGTTTGCAACAGAAAATTAATGCTGCTAATTTGTAGCAGTATTGCAGTAAATTTGCTAAGAATTGCAGTTTGCAACAATATTGCAGCAAGTTTGCTGCCAATTTGCTGCAGGCCTGATATTTTGCTAAGGGTCATCCAGATCGGTTTTATTTTCAGTAAAGAAAAAATTGAATCTGATACTGGATCTTATTTCTAATGACTTTGTTAGAAGGACCAAAGGTATTGTTACTCGTTTTAAGTAAGATCCAGTATCAGGTAAATTTTTTCTTTACTTAAGTTAGATGTTTCAGTCTGTTTACTGTAATAGCACACAGTGAGTGGTATACTTTTTCAACACCTTTGTCTAAATCACCAAGGTATACCATATCCAAAACCTTTCATGAAATTAAAATAATAGGCTTATTTTTGAGTCCTGCTGGTATACCATATCCAAAACCTTTCATGAAATTAAAATAATAGGCTTATTTTTGAGTCCTGCATGTATACCATATCCAAAACCTTTCATGAAATTTAAATACATAAGCTTATTTTTGTGTCCTGCATTTTTAGTTTTGGGTCATAAAGGAGAAATTTTATCTTGTGACAATAAACATTTGAAATTAAAACTCAGAAATGGTTTATATATCTTTATTTTGTCAATGCAGTGCTTTACCATGGAAATTAAATTTTTGCTGTATAAAGGTCTAGTAGTCATTGAAGCTTGTTATAGTTTCAAAGGACGGAGGAGATTGCATGTGAAACTTAAAAAGAATGAACAAACGAACAAAAAGATTAAGAAAACTGTTCTTTGAATCATTACAAGATCTTTAAACCAAATGGAATACAGAGTTCTAAACATACTTGTTTTAAATTCCTAGAAAACCCATCCATACCCAGGAAGACCATACAAAGGCACCAAAATAATGGGTTATCTGCCAGACACACCTGAGGGAAGACAAGTTCTCAGTTTGTTGTATGATTGCTTTAATGCTGGAAAGATGTTCCGAGTGATCAGGTCAAAGAGCAGTGGAATGGATCGAGTGGTGTCCAATATTCCTATTAAGACTGATGTGTATGGAGAGTAAGTACAAGAATCTTTTTCCTTTTTTTCTTTTATTTATTTATTTATTTATTTATTTATTTATTATTTTTTTTGGTGAAATAAAGTATTCATGCTGGTTTAGTGAAGCATATCCTGTGTTGCAAATATTTGTTTGTAATGTCGAATATTTGCCCAGCATTGCATTTATGTGCAACTAGCATGAACAGAGATGCTATGATTTGTGAAGTATGATAACTGTATTTTTATTCAATTTGTTCTGCTGTTGTTGTTTCCATTGGCATGATCACATCAAGTGCAAATTAGGTAGTGACATACCCATGTTTCCACATTGATTTTAATCCATATTTATGATAAAACGGTCACTGTGGATTTGGTCACCTAGTGACATCACATGTTGGAGTTTGAAAACTGGGTAACACATTAGCTGAATTACATGCCCTGTAGCAAAATGTACAATAAATGCCAATTAATGCTGCATGTCGTTTTGTCCAACTGTAAGTTTGTTTGGAAATTGTGTGAGTTTGACACACCCAGATATAAACATCATGGCAGAAGCATTGTCAGTACATTTTACTTTGGCATCAAATGTAGCTTGCTTCTCACTCAAAATGTGTTTTTTAATTATAAAATAATCTTGTTTTCTTTCTACAGGAGTGGTTACCCCGACACCAATTATCTCCCACAGCTTCAAGAACGCCTGTGTTCCCTGGGTCTGCAGTGAACTTGTACAAGTACATAACAAGGAATGATCATATAATGGGCAGTCAGCCACATTTATATGTAGACTATTAATAACATAGAATATTAGGGTATATTATAGAACTGTAATTGTTGCATCTTTATATCTTTAATAATTCATTGATGTGAAACTTAAACAAGTATATGCATATACCAAGTTGATATATAAACATGAAGTTATGTGTAAATTAATTCTTTTGATGTGTAGATTTGGTAGCATCGATGTACATGTATATGTGAAAACAGATGCTTGTTAAATACATGATTTCCTTTGCAAGAACTTTCAGAATTATCTAAAAATAAAACTAAATTTGTAGTGTGAAAAGAAAAAAAAAGGTTATTGAAGTTTTATTGTAACCTTATTTTAAAGGCACAATATGTAAGATGTGTAGAAATTGTATTTGAAATATATTATCAGCTAATTCGTAAATTGCTAAACGCTAATATGTAAATTTTGGATAAGTACCTTTGAATATTTCTTTCCATTAAGTTCACAGACATAAGGCTGAACCCCTGAGGTGAATGATAGTTTGAAAAGATATCTTAGCCTCTGTTCTGTATACCATACTGAATGGTGGACTGAAAATTTGAAGGCAAATATTTACTAGATAACTGTTGGAGTTTGAAAACTGGGTAACACATTAGCTGAATTACATGCCCTGTAGCAAAATGTACACAATGAGAACATCCTGGAAATTTCAACATTTTTAATATACCAGGTCCAAATATATATATGGCTTGAAAAGAGGTTTATATATAATTGTAACAATTTTGGATAAGATGTACTGCAGTGATTAAGGGGAACATTATTAATTTTCTTGCTAGCTCATGCATCGATAATTTTTTAATTTGCATTCGAAATGTAAAAAATTATTTTTCTTACCTACCGCAGAATAGTCTATTAAGCAAAGGGAGTAGAGATGTCCTCCTTCCAATTTTACAAGGATTTTCAGCAAAAAAAATGTGGTTGGGTTTAGACCTGATAATTGCTTTATAAAGCATTTTGAGCTTATTTTTGGTGTGCCATCTGTTACAAAAGCTTTAAATTCAGCACAAATATGTTCTGGAGAGGCCTACATGTGTAACATGACGTTTGCTTGCTATTTGCTACGCAGCATTAAAGGCCAAATATGAACATGCAAAGTTGGAAGCATATTTGAATAACCATTTGTAAATCAAATATATGTGCCATGCATGTTACATGTTATATGATAATCTTATATCCTAGTGCTATTGTATTGTAATCTAGTTCCTTTGAAAGAATTGAGTCAATACCATGTGTGTTAAATATTCAAGATATATATGTACAAAATTTAATTATCATTCTGAGTTATTGGTGTTTCATCTTTGCTTTCAATTTCAATTATCAGACTGCAAAATGGTGTGGAAAAAAAATTTTATCGGATTATATTGTAATTTTCTTTAGAACAGCTACTTCCTTGGAAGAAAAGAAACAGAAGATCAAGTATTAAGTGGAGCTGGGCTGGGCATTCATATTATTGATACACCAAGCAGAGACTAAGAAGCTACTTGACCAGTGAAATGATTGCTCAGCACAGGCATAGTGAAATCACTTTGTTTATCGCCAACTCTAAATACAGGTTGTCCTCTTAATTCATCTTAAAATGTTTTTGACTGTTTATTAAATGAAAAAAGGACAATTTTGAAGTTATTTTTGTTTGGAATTAAACAGATGAGTTTAGTGTTAGAGATGACGTTGAACAAAAGCTTAAATGTTGAGAACTGGACCTGTTACTTTATTATTACTATTTAATAACGTTTACCTTCTGCTTTGGTTATTAGTTTGAGTTCATTAAGCCCCCTTTACACTGGACGGCGTCCTTTCTGCGTCCAGCAGTACGGTCCTATTTGAGAGTTAAAAGATTATAATACTTTACGTGCCGACAACTGGCCGATCATTGAGCATTCATTCTGATACAAAATCAATGCTCGTACCTCCTTATTAAGACCACATTGATGTCAAATTTCATGGTCGCAGAAAGGACGCAGAACGGACGCCGTCCAGTGTAAAGGGGGTATTAGCAATATGCTTGTATTTATTGTGATTTTAGTAACAAGTTGCAGTTTACATTTGATTTATTATAAAATGTTTCATGTGTATGAAGTGATTTCAGTGTTAGATCTATATTGCGTTAATTGGATTGCTATTACATATAAAGTACATATTAGCAAAAGGGTTTGACAACCATTATCTGTATTATTAGACAAGCTGTGAAATGAATTTAGTTATAACCATATAATATTTGGAAACAAATAATGCTTCTTTGGCATTGAAATATCTTTTATTAGAATACATCATCCGAATACACATGAATGTGAAGAGGTAACCACTCATAATATGAAGTTTAGGAAGTGGAATGGACAGATACATTAATTAAAATATAAGAATTTTGAAATATATGACATTAACCTATACTTAATTTAAGAGTACAAAATCCTTATACACTGCTATCTGATGCACAAGACTGACATTTTTGTAACTATTTGTGGCGCTTGCTTAAATAAATTCAGAAAAAGTGAATATTGTCAAAATGTTACATGCCACAGAGGATAGAGATGGAAACTAACTGTGAAATACAATGGAGTTTCAAACCAGTTGATGATCCCTTCAATACACAATTGCTAAATTATACATGGTTTTTAAAGTCTAACAAACCAGACAGCACATCTGCTACAGTCTATACAAATAATGTAAAAAATATTCAAAGACCCTGAATTAGTTTAAATGGGAATCCCTTCTTATCCCTCTTAAATAACTGCATCTCAAAAGTTCATCAAAATTTGTGAAGAATTTTATGAGATATCATGGTCACACACACACACACACACACACACACACACACAAAAAAAAAAAAAAAAAAAAAAAAAAAAAAAAATCCAAGGCAGACAAAACACCTATCCACCTTCATCACCAGTTGTTTTAAATTCCTTGAAACATTAAGATCAACAACAATTATTCAAAACCACACAAAGCTAATCTATATGAAGGTGGTATATGTATTTAACCTCATAATACCTTTGGAAAGACTTATGCAATTGCTTGGATTTAACAACCTCAAAGAAATAAATCCACTTTCTAATTGCAGTTTTTGGAGGTAATTTGTTGCTTAACATTTGTGAAATAATAATTTTTAAAAATTCACATAAAGCATAACCACAACTTGCAATTTAAACAACAAAGTTTTCCTGCTTACGAAATATGGAAGAAAAAAATTCCATGTATTGCGTTTGTATCACAGTAACACATTTAACATGATTATATACATTAAATTACATAATATATATTTCTTGAAAAATAATTGGCAGTTCAACAGAATGGAAAAGATGTTAACATTTCTCTGAAAGTCTCTGCCTAAAGTAATGCAGTCAAGTACTGCCATGTGACAAAGGGGTTAAATGACTTATATCATAAAAGTATCACTCAAATAAAATTTACAAATGCTTTATAATTAAAAAGACTGACAAATGTTTGCCCTTAAATTGCAATATTGAGACAAATTAATCATTGGCCAAAAGCAAAAAGGGAGGCTCTGTCACTGCCTTTCCCACTAACAGCAGTCAATCCTCACCAAAAATATAAATGAAGAAAAAAACAAAAACGGATTATGCATCATTCATATCATGTGATACAAGTAACCATAAAAAGTATGCAGAGCAAAAGGAATCCTTGTCCCATTTACCCGAATCATTTGCATTTTTTTTCACAGGTAGTTTTCTCTTTAAGTTGGATATTAAATGTTTGGTAGGACGGAATGTGACGTATGTAAGATGCATGCATGTGTAAGGTACACGAAGTTCTTATAAAAAATTACCCAAGACAGAGAAAAAAATCAATAAACCTTTTGTTTATATAACAACATACTTTGTTATATAAAACGTAAGTCTACATAGTTGCTTAAAAGTGGCTAATTCCTATTAAAATACCCTGACATAACAACACTTTTACTGAATTATCACAGTATTTTCATACAACCTAAGTTAATAACCACACAATATCACAACCACATGTGCATACTAGATGTTTGTAACAGCAGAACAGAAAGTTGTTTGTTTTCCCAAGTATATTCCAGTTTATCTGGTAGAGGAGATGTGAGACGCTCAGATATGTATATAACATCTAGCCAATGTCAATCATCAAGCTTTCAAAATTTCTGCATTTCTAAAATAAAATCTCAATCATAACTTCATTTTTTTCTTTCTCATTTGAGTTTAGGGTGTAATATCCGAAAGTAATGTATTTCTATACTGATTTATAAAATGGAGCATTGAAAGAATCAATGGTTTTATTTAATACTGGAGGTACTGTAGGGTTTCTTAACTGCGCACAAATAGTTTTACTCTGCTGGAGGTGGAGGAGGGTCCCCTAACTGAGCCCCAATGCGTCTGTACATTGGTTCTCTGATTGTGTTCATTGACCGCACGGTCATGGGATGTTTGGGGCCATAGATCTCCACACAAAGGTACGCTTGTTTCTTAAAACAGTCGTAGGCTTTCAGGTAATCTCCCAGCTCTTCATAATGAATGCCTGTATTTGTCATGATCCGAGAAGCCAAAATGCACTTTTCTCCATAGACCTGGTAACACATTGTTTTGGCCTTTTCATAAAGCTGAAAAGGAAATAGTTTAATTATAAATATTATTCTTACAAGTGATGGATACAAAATGGAATCAAATGTGAAAAAGTAACCCTTCACTTTAGCTGCTATGTCTCCCCTGTTTACAGAGAGTCACCTCTTGTTAACCGACTTGTCAATTTTGTATGGAAATAATTACCTTGAGTTGTTCAGGCACAGCGCTTTGACATAACAATCCTTCAGTCATAGTTGTCTCAGCAAGCATCCCAATGTCATTAAGCTGAAAAAAGACAAAAATAAAAATTATCCACTTGTAAGGTCATGGTATTCTTGGAATGAAATTGTGCAAAAATAAATAAATGAATACTATCTACTCAAAAATGACAAAATACTTTAAAATGAATAATTTCAAAACATTATTTCAACAGTTGCTAGAAGTGATCCTGTAAAAAAAAAACCCTTCAAATTTCAATCATAATCTATTGTAACTGTTCCTCCTTTTCACACTCTAGATTAATAACTAACAAGCAATTTGCATAAGAATCCTCATAATTTATGTAATTTTACCTCCTCAAAGACCTGTTGCGCAGCTTTAATATATTCCTTCCCATCCGTCAATGCTGCCTGTGCACTACGCTGGGTGTTACCGCCACGCAGGGACCACCCAGACAGGTGAAACGTGATCCGAGACATGTCAGACGCCCACTTGGACTGAAATCAGAAATTTGTGTCAAGTCCCAAAAAAATTTCAAAAAGTCTGATCCCATTATGAGCCAATAGTAGAGAAAAAAGAGCTGTAAAGTGGAAACACTGTTAGAGTGCACCAATCAAAAATAATTAAACCAAAAAATAAACTTATATAATATATAATGCCATAACATGACAATTTGCAACTATAATGTCATCCATAACCAAATAAAACCCGAAGAGGTCCAGTAAGGTCCAAGGATCTCAGAACAAATCTTCAGTGTGTTTTTAGACCCCCCCCCCCCCCCCCCCCACCCACCCCCACCCCCCCCCCACCCACC